ACAAAAACTTTCATGTTTCGGTACTAAGATGGTACTTCGACAGGCAATGGTAGATAACTTGTGATAAAAATGATTTATTAGGGAAATGTAAAAAACAAATCTTTACCTGTTTTCGGAAGTGTTATATTCCGTGCCAATAGGAATAAATACTCGACAAACACAGCGGATAAATAAGTAAAGGTTTATTGTAAAAACCAATACAGTAAGAAATAAGGTAGAGCTATGCGCATGATTATCGCAAATTAATCCAGTAGTGAGTGCTGCTATTGGAAGGTCGGTAGTTCTTGTGTAAGTCTGAGTCATACTCAACAGATCCCAGCAAGTCTCCTGTAGTCTGTAGACTTACCGATACCTATAGTGTAGTTACTCATGGGGGTGACAGGTTATTCCATTACATCAGTAAGTAAACTTATGAAAAGAGGTAAAGATTTGTTTAAATTTTTGAAGATCAAAGGCAATAAAGTCACTAGGATGCAAAGGGTTACTGAGTGTTAAAGAATATGAGAAAAAACTACTATTAAGGAGAAAGGACAAAAAATGAACAAGAATTAAGAAAACAGAAAATAACAATTAACATTGCATTTAAGTTTTTGAAGATCAAAGTTGACTGGGAAGTAAGAAAGTGGAAGAGAGTTCCACAAGTGAAACATGCAAGAGAAGACACTGTTAGTATAAAATTGACAGTTACATCTAGCAGCCATTTCAACTGTAAAATGATGAGACCTTACGAACATATATATTAGAAAAATTTTATTTTTTATTACTTTGTCTTAATAGTAGTAAATAAATGTTTAATCATCTAGGTGTTTTTTTAACATGTACCTTTTGAGAAAAGTGTATTTTTAAGCCAGATGGGTTGTGAAAAGAAATTGTTACAGCTGTTTGAATCTATTTTAGAATTAGTTGTTAAAAAACTGCCAAAATTATTTCTTCGTAAACTGTTGCAGATTCATTTTTTGTTTTTAATATTGTGGAAGAATAAGTTTACTAACCAATGCGAGACAAGCCCTTGTGAAAATCTGGATGGAGCATTGTGTGAACCTCCTTTGTGCGGTTAGTGGATGGCTTCAGTAAACATTTAATTGTCAAGGAGAAGGCACATGAAGCGGCCACATATCATAGCCAGAGGATTAGTCGCGCTAAAGGGGTCATAAGTCATCACCGGAGGGGGGAGGGGTAGAAAGATGAGCTAGCAGATTTAAGTACCAGGACAGAAAATTCTTTTCATTGTCTTCCAAAGATGAACTTGAACAAAACAGACACCCGAGTTGAACTTTCCAGTAAAGGACTACATAATGTCCTCCAGACAACAACCTGTTGAAAACACAAAATCCCTTTGTGCTGAGACATTCCTATTCAATATTCATTTACATTATTTGGACTGTTGTCCTCATCTTTATTGGCATATTCACATTTCGACTATTGTACACACCAACCTTTTTCAGGGGATTGGGATTTTGAACTGAACCCATTTCGCCCACCAGGAACAACTGTTCTAGTTCCATGTGCCATGCCTCTTCCGGATATCTCAGTTATCTCCCTTTAACTCAACCCTCCAAGTTTTTCTTTGCCACTGCAGTAGCCAGGTATTGAACCTACAACTCTTTGGGTCAAGTCACCGGATACAACCAAATGCTTTTATTCACTGGGCCATGTATCCTCAGACAAAATAAAGGGTTCAGTTCGAAATTCCAATCACCTGAAGGAGGATGGAGCATACAATGGTCGAAATGTTGTGAATATGGCAATAAAGATGAGGACAACAGTCTAAATAATGTAAATAATTAAAATACTCCATCTCAGAAATATAGACAGATATTCAGTTGAAGAAATTAGGTAGGTGGACTTTTGTATTTTGGGCCTTGCGTAATTTTGGTTTCCTCAAAGTTTTCACTTCTTTTTCATTTTTAAAAGGGTGCCATCTTTTTTGTCATTGAATCCATGTCTTTTCCTAAACTGTAACTCTTTATTTCCTTTTTTTGATAGTAATCCTTTTTTTTTTTTTTTTTTTAAACATCAGAAATTGTTTATCCTGCCTTAACAGGTGCCACAAAAGGAAATTTTGGTGCAGATTTTCTATTTGTACCTTTTTTGTCTTTATTTATGTAATAAATGTTTTTCCTTTAAAATTTTATGAAGTGGTTGAGTCTCATTTTATCATTTGTGCCTATTTTGACCCCAAGGAGAAGAAAAGCACATGTTCTCTTTTCCCTTTCTATTCCTACTAAGATTTTGTGTTTGGCAAAAGTCCTTAGATTTAGTAGGGAGTTAGAATTTTTATATTTTGCACAAAAAAAAGACGAATGTGATCTTTGTATAATTTTAAAATTGTTATAATTATTATACATTCATCGTAAAATGAGCAATTACTTATTTCAATGTTCTTGTTCTATAACTCAAACGTTTTTATAAATTTATAAATAAAAAATAGTTTTCCTTATTTATAACATGGTAACTAAATACTTCATTATAGTTAATAATGAACTTTTATAATTGGTTATTTGTGCCTATTTTGACCTCAAGGAGAAGAGAAACACATGTTCTCTTTTCCCTATCTTTTCCTACTAACTTAGGGTTTTGTGTTTTTGCACAAATTAGATTTGGTAGGGAGTTCAAATTTTTATATTTTGCACAATTTTGCAAAAAAAAAAGAATGTGGTTTTTATTTAATTTTAAAATTTATATATATATGTTTTGAATATTTTGAGAATTGGTTGCATGGGCTTGATATAATCAATCAGAAAGGCCACTTCCTGTGCATGCGTTAACACTCTCCTATGGAGTTATGCAGTCAGCAGTGAGATGATATTTTTAGTAAGATCGTTTATTTTAACCATTGCATTCACATCAATCGAGCAGTAGAGTTTTATGAATTTGAAAAGGGTAATAATAATACTTATTTATATTCTGCTAGAAAAGTCATGTCAAATTTTGACATTTAGAGAGTCATAATTTGACTCGAAGGTATCCCTGTCTCCCGACAGGAAAATTTAACAGGCCAATAATGAGTGTTGGTCTTAATTATTGTGGTGTGTATTTCGCATAGTTATGAAATTGGAAGAATTAAAATAAAAGGATCAGATCACAACAATTTTGATGTATGCAAGGAAAGATGCTTTTTAGCTTACAAGGAGATATTGTCGCTCAGTTAAGTGATAACCACCAGGTGTGAACATGCAAAATTTTAAACTAAAAAAAATCCTTTCAGAACTTGAACTTGCGTACAATAAAATTTTCTATTGTTAATAAATTATGGTCAAGTAGTTCATTGTTATGTTAATAAATAAAACAAAAAGAAAAACAAACAAACAAACAAAAAAAACATTGTGAAGTAGAAAAAAAAATCCCTGGCAATCCATTATTGTGACAGGTTTCCATCAGGCCTCGTGCTTAAAGTCAGATTCAACAAAAGGGTCTTTATTCTTTAAATTAAAAACAACAAATGACTAAGAGGTAGTGACAAAAAAACAAAAAGGAAAGTTTTAATAACAACGGTGTCTAGTTTCTTCTTTGTATTTAAACATGATTTTAAATTTAAAATTCTTATTTTGAACAATTTATTTTGCTTAATGAAAGGATTTAAGAGGAAGAATTAAAAAATGTTTTATTTGCTTTTAAACTAAATTGAAATGTTATCCTTTTCAAGTTTGTTAAACTAAACACGAGGGAACATTTCTGTAAGGAAGGTACAAATAAAAAATTTAAAAACTGATTATTTTTTTAAGTAAATCCAGTGTTGAATTTTAGAGTGGACAAATATTTTTTTTTTCACGCGAACTTGAATAAAAATATATTTTTGTCACGTAATTATAAAAAAAAAAATCCTTTTTTTTTTATCACAAAAAATACTACATTCTATTTAAATAAAGTTTAAAAGTAACATGGTTTTTAATTTTGACTTCATTTACCGACTTTAAAGAGAAAGTAAAAAAAAAAAAGTAACATCTGATGATGATTCATTTTTCAACAAAGCAAAAAAAGTTTATTTCGCCGGGAAATGAAAAAAATCTACAATAATAAACTTTAAAAAAAGTTGGCCGATGGAAATTAACTTTTCTTTATCTATGAATGTTGAAGATTAAAAATAAATGCTTTATGTTTAAAGTAAAAAATTGGTTTTAAATGCGACATTCGTAAAGGAAAGCAAATAAAAAGACTTTAATTAAAGTTTTAATTAACGAATGATAGGCAAGACACGAAAGTTGGAAAAAAATGTTTTATAGTCGAGTTGCTTATTTAAGTTATTAAACTTGTGTTCCTAAACCAATTATCGATTAGCTAAATTGTTTAATTTAATCAAAGTCATAATTTAGAACAAAGAAAAAAGTTAGAAATCCTTAGTAGATAACTTTTATTATTACTTTTAAAAATCCAGTTTTTTAAGCACTTCAAACCTTTTTGAAAAAGAAAGGTTATTAATTTGAACTATTAAGAACTTGATTTATAACAATCATTTTCTGGAATGATTTTTAAAAAATATTTAATATATAAGCAGATTGAATAATGGACTGAAAAAAGATAATACTTAGTAAATTCGACATTTGGGGGGAAAAAAAAAAAAGAAATCATAACGAAACGTAAGCGGCCTTTATTTTTTCATCTTCCTCAACGATTTCAGACCAAAGACTATTACAAAGTTTATAAGGTAATAATGAACCCTAACAGGTGGCGAGATGAATTAAAAGATAGATATAAGGATTAATATGAAAAGGAATTAAAAGTATGGAAAAAGGAAAGAAAGAACAAGAACCTACCTGATCTTAACGCTTTTCCCTCTTGTTGTGTTGCTTTTCGTTGCCGTAAGCGGCCTCAAGTGAAAAAAAAAATCAACTTAATGCTATAAGCGACCTTCTATGATGTCAATGGCCGTACAGTTCCGTTCGACTCATCACAACTTGATTGATACTTAAATTTACAAAATATAATTATATATTTTCTATTTTTAAGTTGTTAATAGTTTTAAAAAACAATCTATTGCTAAGCTTAATAGACATATCAACATGTTTAAACCAAGATCTCTGGCAAAAGTGAGTATATTACTTTTTTTCATTTTGTTTACATCAGATTCACAATTGAAAACAAATTCATTTTTTACTTGTGTAAATCAAATCTTTTATATATACATTTTGAGATGAGTAATTATACACTGATTTCCTAATGTTCCATGTTATAGTCACACCGTTTCACTGATGTGCCTTCCATCTTTCGTGGTTACTTAACCTTTTTTTTTTTTTATTTGAACCAAATTTGTTCTCATTCTGCTGCTCATACTTTTTACTTTTTAGGATCTCATTTTTTTTTTCTTGTTTAATTCGCCTGTTTCATGTCGTTTTTTTCTATTTCAAATTACTTACTCTTAGTGATATTTGTTGTACAATTTGACTCGGGGATTGAACTCCGTGAAATAGCTACATAATAATCATGATAGATTTTTGCACAAGACCGAGTTTAAAAAGTGAGTTTCTCCTGTATGGGACCGGTGACCAAAATAGTCCAGCTCCCATGACACTTCTCCTTTGGAGAACGCAAAAGACACCAGGGAATATTAACATTCAAATCATTAGATCTCCTGCTTAGGAAGAGGTAATTAGCTTAGTTTTGGCACGAGGCACCTAGTGAGGATTGAACTCACTACTTAATAATAGTAATGGTCAATCAGATCAGACTTGGTAACCATTACCACACCGGGGTTTAGAAGTTAAAATTTTCTAATTAATGAAGGATGATAATAACACGCTTGAAGTAGCTCGTTTCAGGAAAATAAATCGGAATTCTTAAAGTCCATAGTTTTTAAACTCCATGGGATCGCTAAAAAAGACGCCAAACTTGATCAAAACAAAATTTTATCGTCTAAATGTTCAGGTTTAAGAGGAAAGATCAAAGTATTTTTTTTTTTTTTTTTTTTTACATTTTCTATTCGTCCCTAGCACGTCCAAAATTTTCGTTAAAAATCTTGTTTTTTTTTTAGTCATCAAAATTGGCAATCAATCAATCATGTCAACCCTTTTTTTCCATTTTATAAAAAAAAAATGAAAATCTCATTTTGAAATTCTTTTAAAAATCAATTATCATTTTTTCAAAACTTATTTTAAGAAAATCAGAAATTGTAATGTTTATTAAAATTTAAAATATTTTGAACCAAGCTTAAGTTAGCTTCTGCGCCGAAAAGATGTAATTTGAAAATAAAACAAAGCAGGTCAAAACCTTTCGTGTCACTTGACAGGTGAGGAAAGAATTTTCATGACGTTTAGATAGCTTACGTGAGGATAATTCTTTCTACGGATGGAGAGAAGTGAAGTTATTTAGATTTAAATGAACAAATTATTTACCTCATTATTTTTAAGGAAAACTTTCAGCACTCTAATTTTTTTTTTTTTGTACTTAGCTTTTACCTTTACGTTTACAATGCTTTATGGAAAATATATTATAAAGAAATTAAAAAATAAGACTGTTAAGACTAAGAGTGAGATTTAAATTTCACAAGAAATGTATCTAATTATTTATTTCTTATAAAATTTTATCAGAAGTGTGCATAAAATACTATAATTTTATGTACATTTATTACATTTTACTGTGTTATTTGTATTTCCATTCATTTTATTATTAATTTTGATATTTCATTTATGGAAAAATGTCATAACTGAGATTAATATAAAAATAAGATTATATAAATTTCATAAGATGATACTGATACTTGTAGGTACCCTTCTCAGTTGAAATTGAAAAATCAAATTAACTTCTCTACACGTGTTTCACAAAAGTAAAGGCCTTAACAGCGGAGAACAATGCTTAACTCAAATAATGCAACTTAATTGTATTCTTGTTGGTCTTCCGTACTTTATAATTACAACCTGATTATAAACACAACATTACATTTCTTAATTACTGTGGATCTTCTGATTAGTCAAAATGATACAATTTATAACACGCTAGTAAAAGATCTATCTCATAAACAGACTTAGGAAACCCAATGTGGCTTTTAACTAATTTTATAATATTTTAACAATTTAAATGTAAAAATCTATTATAATTAAGAAATAACAAATAATTGTATTAAAAATTCATTTTTCATCGAAGAAGGTTTTGCTTTCAGAAAATATTGTCCATATTCATAAAAACAACTAAAAGCAAATAAATGCATTTGAAATTAAATAATATCTTTGTTTTATTGAGTTTTGTATGTTACAATTCAGAGCTGATTTTCAGGTAGGGGCGGTCCAATTAAAAAAAAAAAACATGATTTGCATTCCTCAAAGCCTTGTGCTTTTAACTATTGTAATCACTAAACTAGATTCGATAGAATTTATAGAGTTTTCATAAAATTAGTTATGGGGTGGGTAATAAATATAAAAAAAAATATTTCTGCCATGACTTTAATAAAAAAAAAAATATTTATAATAATTTCGATCATCTATGAATAGTTTCTGAAAGTTTCATTAACATCCGACAATTATTTTCATTTTTGCAAGATTTTCCAAATTAATGTGTGTCATACAAAAAAAAAAAAAAACATGCTAAAAATTGTATATGTTATTTTACTAGTTCCAGTGATACAAAGAGAAACAAGGTTTTTTTAATCAAAATTTAGAATGTTCTAAAAAGAAGGAAAAATTTTAAAAAATAATAAAAAAAACTTTGGTCTTTCCTTTTCATAATGGCATAAACATTTAGACGATAAAATTTTGTTTTTGTCAAGTTTGGCATCTTTTTCACCATGCTATGCTCTTTTTTAGCAATCTCATGGAGGTACCTACATATTGTCATGAAGAGGAAATGTTCATACAATTGACTAAAATCTGACAATATTAAAAAATGTTTAAGACAAAAAGGTAAGGTTGCTCACTGAAGAGATATGGTTTGCATACGTTCAAAAGTAGATGAAGAGATAGTTTGAAATATTTAGCTTTCTTGGATTGTTGAGAGAAAATTCTTTAAAGTGTCACGTAATAGAGCCTGATAATATAAATGGCAAATAATTTTACACTGGTGAGTACTTCAATTCTGGTTGCAAGCAACTGAAATGAAACCTTTCACATTCAGGCAGTCTTATGATTAATTTAATTTTTCTCCTCATTTTATATAAAAAAAAGAATTTCATGTAGGCTTGCCACTTTATTCTCTCATTGGCTGACAGGCTAATTTCTGTGAAAGTAAGGTTTTGATTGATCCAAAGAAAATTTCACATATGCTTGTGAATTCCTTACTTTCTTCCTCAGTCCTACCATAGTTGAAGGGAGTTGGTGAAGAGTTTGTTATTTCACACTGGCTACATTTCTACCAAAAAAAAAAAAAAATCAGTGGCCTTAAAAAAAGCAACAAAAGAAAGTATTATCTTGAATTGCAATCAATCCAATGTTTACATAGGCTTAGGATAATAGTTAGATGCAGACTTGGATTATGATTTTCGGGGGCATCTGTTTTGAATATTTTTTTATGTGTGATATATTTTAGTGACATTTTATATAGCTTGAAGTAAATGATTGTGTTGAAATAGAAAAATAGTGGTATTCCTTAAAGAATATTTTTTTTTTTTAATAAAAATAAGATAGCTATTCTCATTTAAATTTAGAATAGCTATCTTTTGTTTGCAATAAGAATATTCTTTAAGAAATTTCACTCTTTTACTATTTATTGCAAACCAAATTGGCACATATTTCAACACAACCATAGTAAAAAAAAAATAGATTTCTTATAATCAGCATTATAACCAAACTTGAGGGGCCTTAGGCTGTAGCCTATAATAACCTAGAGGATAACCTGACCCTGGTTAGACATCTCTCTGGGTTGATTATAATTACTGAGTAGCAAGTTCAATCCTGAATGGGTGCCCAATACTAAAATGTTAAACATAATGAATCTCAGAGCAACAATAATTTTTGTAAATTTTTTTCTTTATTTTTTTTCATTTATTTTTTTTTACAGCTTATCAGCCTTTTGCATGTTATTTAAAGCCAGAAAATATTTTTATTTTGTAAGAATTTTTTGGATTTAATAATCATTTTACTGATACAAGTCTTACTAATTAACCCATAGCTGGGGGAGAAGAGGTGGATTAATTACCTTTCCCAATGGGTATCTGTGCATAAATAAATATAACATATCCAACTGGGATTGAAACTTGGGTCTCAGATTTTCAATTCTGAACCACACATCCAAACTTTCAGCTCATTGTATTCCCAAGTGGTCACCCATCTAGGTACTGAACATGTTTGATGTTGCTTAACTTCGGTGATCGTTCAGGAACCGGTGTTTTTTGTTTTTTTTTTTAATTTACATTTAAATAAAATAACAAATAATAAAAATAAAAAATAAAATTAAGGAATAAAATTAACAGGATAATTTGGCGAGTTAATCAATTCTGTAAATATTTCTCTGAAAGATGTCATTTTTTTTAATGTAGCTTCAAGAACATAATTTTACTACTTGAAAAAATATTCATTTTTAATATTTGATTGTGTAATTTAAATGGGAATTGTACAAGGAAACTGTGTAAACATTTGTGTCTTTATAAATAAAATTTCAAGATAATTTAAAAACTTTTGGTGCTGGTTTTTGTGTTACCGTAAGAGAAACTGACATGTGAGTGGCCATGGTTAAATGTAAAATAAATAACAGAACTTTCCAACAATCAGAATTGACAAAGTTTGCAGTAAGGAATAACAAGAAAAGAACAGGGCAAAAAATGATTTAAAGCAAGCAAATAATATTTGCAAGGCAAATTAACAGTAATAAAGCAAATCAACAATAATAAGGTTTGGGGAAAATTGTGAAAATGGCATACCTCAGAAACGCCCGCGAATCTGTGCATCGTGCAAACTCCGGTTGCTCAACGGTGAAAAAGAACCAAAATGGTGGCACCCATGTTTTATGTCAGGTGGTCTTGGACAGTTAACATGAAATCTCGTTGTCTTGTCATTCGCATGCAAATCATGGTTGGTCCTCAGCTGTATAAAGCATGCGCATTTTTGTTTCTGAGTACTGGGTCATATGAAACTGAGAACTGGCCTATTTTATTGGCTAGGAAGAAATCCCAGCATGCATTTGTGTACTTCTGTCTATAAATTGGGGCATGGGTGGGAAGTAAAAGCTAAAAACAGATATTTTTACATTAAGATTTTTATGTCATGGGTGTTTTTGTAGGATCCCTGTGTATTGTGGTAATGTCGGATTGAATGATGACAAATGAGTTCTTGTGGTGAATGAGCAAATTGTAATGAATGATTGGGTCACAAATCTGATTACCTAGGTTTAGGATAGTAAGTGTTGACCAATCTCTCTCCACTTCCTCTTTGGCACTGTACCACAATTGTTATTTTATGTAACAATATATATACATTCCTATTAAGGATTGAAACCAACAGAAACAAACAATTTTTAAAAAAATATATTTGATAATATAATTTCATGTTTTTTCTTTTTATCATTGAAATGATAGATTACAGAAAGGGACTAAGATTTTTGTCAAAGAATTCCTGCAAGTTTTCAATTTAATAACACCAAACATTATAAAACAGAACAAATGCCCACAGAATTATGGTATCCAGTGGAATTTTTTAATTACTACATTCTATTTCATTCAAAAATTTCCATATTCTTGAAAATAATGTATTATTGAATACTACTACTTCTGTAGGACAATCTTTTCTTGTAACATAACTTGCTATATACGTTTTTAAAATACCTTAGAAAAATACACGTCTTTTATTAAAAAATTCAATTTTATAGTCAGTATGCTCATTGTTATGAAGAACAATATTATAGAGGAAAATATTAAATTAACTTTATAACAAAACTTAATAGGGAAAATTTTTTTTTGTCAATTTTGCACTGATAAAAAAATAAACTGTTTTTTATAATGAAGATAAAATTAAAATATTGCAAGTATATAAGTTAATTGAAGAGTAAAAAGTAAATATTTCTTTTTAAAAAGACAATTGTTTATGGTGATAATAGCAACAAACTTTCATTATTAAGTTTTAGACTTGAAATCAGTGGCCCCAAGTCAGCCAAGATCTTTGCATGCTTACGGGGGCCTGTTATAGGTATCGACTTGGTCTAAAAAAAAAAAAAATAATCCCAATATAACATTACTGTATTCATGATATAATAACACTATTTTTGTGGATGAAAACAGAGAAGGACATGAATAATTGTTTGAGAGAAAACATGTTTATCTATGTATGAACGAATATGAATGTAACAATAATTTCTTTCCTCATTGTGCGTACTAGAAATGTCAACTGTCTGTTTTTAATTCTAAGTATAAGCGTCCTTTTTGTAGTAATTTTTTAAAAAACTTGTTCAGTTCATGGTATTCTCAGTATCCTTATGTAGAACCACATTTTTGTTGCTTCTTTTTCATTTGTGAGGAGATTGTCTCGTATTCACTGGCATAGAAGGTGAATGATTTTACATAGCAGTTCAGCTCACTTCTATTTTTTTTTCTGATTAAATTTTTGTATTTCTTAATACTTTGCTTAGTTTATGGAAGGCATCTTTTGCTATTCCAATGTGCCTTCCAATTTCAGTATCACATTTTTCATACTCTGTTAAAACATTTCCCAGATATTTAACTTTTTGTCTGTTTCTAAATGAACTGTAAACAGCACTTCATCTAAATATTCAGATAAAAATCAATGTAAATAATTCTTTACAAATTTTTTTTTTTAAAAAACAATTTTCCCAAATTTTTCTTGTTTTGTAAGTTTCCACATTAACACAACAAACCTATCCAAATGCAATCTGAAGTTTGTAATATGAAATAATGGTTTAAAAAAATCATATACACTAAGAGTGTGTAAGATTTTTTAAACCTTTATTACATATTACAAAGCTTTGAAAACAGTGACAATATTCAAAATGCAGTTTTCTACATTGAAATTGTCAATATGGTTGCAACTGATGAGGCACTCATTGGAAATAATTTGTTTGTTTGTTTTTTTTTATCTAAGTAATTTTTAAAATTATTTATTAAAAATTAATTTTTATTTATTTAAAAATAAGTATAAAATTACTAGACCGTTTTCTCACCAGAATCTATCTTACACGTTCATCTATGCATTGAATATTGATGCCACATCTGGTGTGGTGCTCTTGCTATGTATTTAGAGATTCTTGATAAAATTTCTAATTTTATTGGTCTTGACCTGACATTTTAACATCAGTCACTTTCTCACCACCCTAACAAAGCTTCCCTGTGACTTTTTCTATAAATATTTTTATGGTAATTGTTCTGATGAGCTTTACTCTTTGGTACTTTGACTTTATGAATAGAAGATCAGTACTAGATTGGCACCTAGGTCTCCTCATTTTACAGTTGAAATTATTAGATGTAACTGTAAGTTCTATGTTAACAGTTTCTTCTGTCATACTTCTCACTTGTGGAACTATCTTTTGGTTTCTTGCTTGACACTCAACTTTGACCTTCAAAAATTTAAATGCAATGTCAATTGTTATCTTGATTTTTGTTCTCTCTCCTTAATAACATTTTTCTTTTTCTCATATTCTTTCACACTGAGTAAGCCCTTGTGTATTAGTGGCTTTATTTCCTTTCTTGGGGGTGAAATGATTAAAACAAAATATCTTGGGATTTCGATCAGTACTTGGTTTGCTGACTTTTTGCATAATAGTTAGTATTCAAGTTGTTTTAAATACTTGATTTTATGATTAGTGTTAACAGAAAAGAAAGACATTTCAATTTAATTAAACTGATAAATATTTACATTATTTACATTGTTCAGACTGTTGTCCTCATCTTTGTCATATTTACGACATTTTGGCTGTTGTACATTCCATGTTTCTTCAGATGAAGTTGGAATTTTGAACTGAACCCTTTATTTTGTCCACTGAGATATCCAGAAAAGCCATGGCATGCGGAACTAAAACAATCTACCTCTGGATAAAATAAAGAGTTTGGTTCAAAATTCCAATGTATATCCTGAAGAAGGCTGGAGTGTACAGTGGCTAAAGCATCATGAATACAACAATAAAGATGAGGATAATAGTTCAAACAATGTAAATAGTTACAATATCTCATAATATAGACGTAATATCTCTCAATATAGACATAAACTGGTACATTTGGTAGAATTCTTAAGTTCAGTATAAAATAATGTATTTACTCACTCATTTTGTTTAATTTTATGAATTTTTTTTTTTTTTTTAATTTTAAAAGACACACGGATGTCAGTAATAGAATTGCTTACGACTTATTCAAATTTGAATACAGTTGCTTATTTTAAAAAAAAAATATATGAATTTGAGTAAAAAAAATTTGTATGCTTTCATCACAGATTTTCCTGAAGCACACTGTAAGTTTTTTTTTTATGTGCTATGTCCATTCAGGATGTAGGTGATTATAGCTCTCCACGACTTTCCATCCTTCATAGCTCTTAGTAATGTTTGTCTTCTTATTATTATTCCTCCCACTCTCATTTGAACACACTTGTTAAGTTTCACTGTGAGTTTGAAATATCAATTAATTTGGGAGATTCTCTTAACACCGCTGAATTGTTAATGTTTATTGTTTAATAAGTTTAGGTATGTAGTGGGTATGTAGCACTTAGTGTGGCTGAAACTCACTGCTACTAATGATCTGTGAAACCAGCATATTGCAGATTACATTATGGCACAATACCAAAAAGGAGGCAATGTATGTGAATAGGAAGATTGTCTTGCACCAATCTTTCAAGTGGGAAATATATGTGCCTATCTTGAGAATCATTTTAAATGCTGGCTTTTCTTTGAACATTGATCAGTATTCCCAGTATGAAATACGCAACTGTCTTGGCCACCAAACTCACAATATGACTATGTTTTAATATTTACTAAGCTTTGCTTGTTCTGGTACAAGGCCACAGATGTGGAGCGCTCAATGAGGATTGGCCTTACTACTATAGAGACTGACTTAATTGTTTTTTGCATTTTTTGTCCTTGATTTAGCTTTGATGAAAGAGAATCAATAAACTTGTTTAGCTGTTTTTGTTTTTTTTTTCTTAATTGTATTTTTATTTACACTAATATTATGTTTTGTTATCCCTCCTCCTCCTTTTTTTATTATTAATTTTTTTTTTTTGTCTTGTTTTAACATGTCTGTTTTTATTGCTTTTTAAGAAAATATAACAAATGCAAGTACAAAATTAATTGAATACAGGTAGTATGAAAACAAATGTGTGTCCTAATGGGCTTACTTAAATACAGAACACATATAAGGAGAGACAATCCATACCACAATACAGGTGTCATATTTTATATGAGTAAACTATTTAAAGTAATAAAATTGACAAACTGTCTTTTGTAAATAGTTGATGCTTTTCCAGTTGTTGCATAAGTTCTAAGATATGTGTTGAAAAGTTCTTGGCCCCAACCCACATCCCAAAATCTGACTAAATATAAAACTTTTGTGAGGAGTTGTGTTGGTCAGGCCAAGAGCATTTCTGTACTCTCTTGTATATAGGAGTATAAAAAATATTTTAAAAATGTATAAAAGTTTATAAAAAATAGTATAAAACAATTTGTGTTCTCATTTCAGAAAACTCCAGCGCTGACACCTGCCCAGCAGGAAGCTGCAAAAAAACGCAAAGAAAGGCTTGATAGACTCCAAAATCTTCAGCTCAGAATGGTAAGGTCAACAATGTGTACTTGTATGGCTCTAATTTTAATATTAAATAATTTGAATTCATTTCGTATTTCTTTTCATGCACAGTAGATCACAGGATTTTTATCTTGATTATTTGTTGAATTTTGTTTTAATCTAAGCAACCAGTTTGAAATGACAGCATGTTAAATAAAAAAAATGTTGATAGAAAAGACAATAATGCTAGGTTTATTTATGGCTTAAATTTAAGTTTGAAAAGGAAAAAAGAATATGAGAAACATTGGTTTGAATTGCTTAAAACATGAATTGCCATAATTTTTAGCTGTTGGATCTCTGAATTTGTTGCTTCCCATCCAAATTTTATGAAAATTTGACTCTCCTTAAAAGTGATGGAAGAATCACATCTTTGTTTTTTTATTTTTTTTAATATAACTATTTCTTCAAGAAATATGGAATATGGGTTTTTACTGTTTTTGTCTTAATAAAACCAGTTTTTCCTTGATTCTCAGATCAGAGTTGCCTGGACATCTCTTTTGAATTTAAAGTGTAGGGTCAGCCTATTTTTGATCTCTACAATTAATGTCTGAGTTTCCACGGCCAATTTCTATGTTGCTTTCTATATCATAGGTCAGCCAGTTAGTTATGTGCCATATGTGATACACACTTAGGCGATCATGTATCAAAAAATACATGACTGACGAGACAGATTTTTTCCAGCAGTAGGTTGCCATTTATTTCTGCAGTAAACCAGTTGCTATCCAAGGCTATAGAACCCAGTCTGTCCTGCTATTTACCCATAACTGGGGGTAGAAGAAGAGTATTTGTACCTTTCCCAAGGGTTTTAGCACGTAAGTGAATATAATAGATTGAACAGGAATTTGAATTTGGCTCATCCGATTCCTCAATCCGAGCCACTATCCATTATGACAATATGCGTCCTTTGGTTTGGATCAGCATGTTGGCTCAAGCTTCTAGGGGAGTTAACTCTGTTAAGCCAAATTTGAATATATTTAGAATAACAAGCTAAGATCCACCTTACGGACAAGATTTGAAGCTTGTTCCTGTGGAAGGCCTAAATGAGGCCGTTTAGCACCAATAAGAGATAATGTACTTGAAATATAAATTTATTGAATCCTCCCTTTTTGAAAATTTCCCTCCTCCTCCATTTTTGGATCAGATTTAATTTAAATCTCTAGGTGAGGATTTCACGAAAGATTTGAAATATCTACATTTACGAGAAACTATTTTCCTTGTTTTTTTTTTTAACTAGATCTCTCTTTTTTTTTTTTTTTGTCAGTAATAAACACAGGCAAATGCACTGCACTATTTTTTGGGAGGACTTATATGTTAATGTCAGGAAGAAGTCCTTCTATTATAAATGTAAACAATGTTTTTTTTTTTTTTAGACTAGATTTTCTATTTGATTATCAAAAGTAGAGACCACCACAAAAACACCTAAAACCTAAGGCTTAAAATGAATTTTAAAAAATGAAATATCCTTCTTGAAGCATTTTAGTTTTAATTTCAATTTAAGAGATTAAATGTAGCATTTACAATAACCAATACTTTGCTGTATTCCAAATCTTATTTAAATTGACTGGAAAGATTTTTTTTTTTTTTTCCTAAAATAGCTGATTGGTGACCTTTTTTTTTTAGTTGTCTTTCATTGTAATTTAATTCTCTTTAAAAAATCTTCCAAAAATAAAATTTTGGATTTAAATTTACTATAGTTATCACTCTTATTTTCTGCTAATGTCATGTATTGTTGCCTGTATTTACAAAAATCAGCATGTTTATACACATACAAAAGAAATTCAAAATTCTTTTAAAAATATTGGTGTTTGATGATTTGTATTAAGCTTTTCCATTTATGATTAGTAAATATAGTTTTCATTTAAAAGGCTGAAATTAATACAGAATTTTAAAATCTAAAACTTAATAAATTTTTCTAATTAAAAAAAAAAATGAAAATTTTTCTAAAAATTCATTGAAAAATTTTTTTTCTTAAGACAATAGTGTTCTTAATGTATGTTTTTTTAATAAAAGCAATTAAAAGCTTTTCTGATTAAATAATGTTAGTTTTATTGCATTTTTTATTTCAGAGCAGATTTTCAGTAAATGGTGTTTCTGTTTGGCAAAAATAATTGATGATTTAAATTCTCAAGGATTCCTGCTTTTGACTAGTAATATAAATATGAAGAAGCTGAAACTTAAATTTCTTGAAATTTCATAAAATCAAATAAGTGGGGGTAACAGATATAAAAAAAAGAAAAAAAAAAATTCAAAGATAATTTAATTCATTTGTCAATAAGCCCTGGTAATTTCCTTATTTGATTTTTGCAAGAATTTAAAAAACAATGTGTTTGTAATGTCAAAAAGACACTAAAATTCTCTATACTAATCTTTGGCCCACCCATTAACACAAGAAAAAGTAGATTTTTAACTAAAATTTCAAATGTGCTAGAAAGGACTAAAAAAAATTAATAAAAAAATCAAAAAATACTTTGGATTTTCCTCTTAATAATAACAAACATTTTGATTATAAAACTCTGTTTTTATCAAGTTTTGGATTTGTTTTCATTGTGCTATTCTCTTTTTTTTCAGCAAATTATTGTATGGAAAAATGTTTCTGATTAGGAAATAGTTTGATATCTGTTCTATAGAGGTAAACAAAAAGAAGATTTAGTTTAGTTGATTTGTTGGACAAAAAGTAAGGGCCCAGTTTAGCATTATATTTACATTGTAAATTGCCCCCACCCCAACATTTCTAAAAACTGAAAATGTTTTGTAATTTTCAGCTGGATGTTGACTTTATATGGTTAAACAAAAAAGATAAAAACTGCAGTTGAGCTAACCGGATAATTTGACAGCCATAGTTCTAGTTGTTCTTGAGTTTATTTTCTGGTGACTTGCAAAAGTAATGGAAAAGTGACTAGGAAATATTCAGCTTAGTGTCTGTTAGTACTGTTTGGTTAAAGAATAGAGGCTTTTCGTCTCGCTGATCTAGACACAAAGTAAGAGTCTATTTTAGCATTATACTTACACTGTAAATTAAATCCATCACTAAAAACTGAAAATGTTTGATATTTTCAAAAAGTTCTGCCTTTGAGTTCTACAATGGTATAAAAAAAAGACACTTGCTGAATAGATATTTAAGAAACTCCATCTAAAATGAGTTTATTTTATTTTTTTTCTAGCAGTATAAAAAATTGAAAAGTTATAGGTAATTTCAGAAATCCCAGTGAGGGTAATTTTTTAGGAAAGATTTTGGAAGTATGGCCGGGTTCAGTGGGTTAAATGTGAAAGGTTAATGTTTCTTTGATGCCAATTTTAAAAAACATGGTTTAATCATCATTTTTCTATTTTCATCTTTCGATGTCAATCTTTAGTGTGAGTATTGGTTGATGGTCATTCGTCTCTCAGTGCTAGTCTTTGGGAAAAGTAGTTGTGAATGTGAGAACAAAATATGAGACTGTTTGAGAACGTTTCCACACTGAATATACTGCGATTGTCCACCTCTTTTGAAAGGTGTGTGTAGCCAATAGTCATTAATACCCAGCTTACTGAATCAGTTGGCCAATAAGCTATCTTCTATCTACTTGTGTTCAGTTACAAGGGTAAGTCAAAAATTAACTGCACTTTCACTATAACATATCTTTTAGATTTGTCACATGATTTTCTGCTCACATGTGCTTATTGTTGGGACTATTGCGGTTACTGGATCAAAGTTTGAACTTGATCATGCCAGTTTATTTCTGATGTTACAATGTAAACATGTCCATTCCACTAACAGTGTGCACCAAGGCGGAACAAAGGGCTGTGATCCGATTTCTCTGGTTGGAAGGTGTGTCAGGGGCTGAAATTCATCGGAGGCTTTTAACACAATACGGCAACTGTGAACAGCCATATAGAAGTGGGTACAAGTGGATTGAGAAGTTTAAAAATGGCTTGATAAGTGTGATGCATGAAGAAGGAGCAGGACTTTTGTCAACTTCCACCACTGGTGAGAAGATACAGCAATCATGAGAGATGGTAATGGCAAACTGGCAATTTTTTCATTGATGAAGTATCATGTTCTCTGTAGATTCAAATCATTGTCCTTCGTTCCTCCTTGTTGCACACTGCTAACTGAGTGGCCATGTTTACACTGTAACAGCAGCAAGAAAACTAGTGTGATCAAACTGAAACTTTGATCACATGACCACAGTAGTACCAATTATAAGCATGCATGATCAGAAGGCAGTGTGACAAACATAAAGATATGTTATGGTGAAAATGGGGATAATATTTGTACTTACCCTTGTACTACATGAGGTTTTGTAACATTCTGTTGGAATGGCTGTGTGCTTTTAGTAATTGCTGATAAATTAGAGCTGTGTACCGGCATTAATAAATCTGCTACCAAGCCTTCTTAAAAGACTTTGTCAGATGATGGTCTTATCTCTGATGTAGTACCAAATGTAGCCATTACTATGGGAAAATGAAAACTCAACCAGGCAGTGTCAAACAATGTATGCAATGAGAAAAGCATTGTAAACTTATCTTTTATTCTTGGGGTCCCTAAAAAGTACTTCAAGAATTTTAAATTGCCTCAACTTGCAGCTTTACTAGGCCTTGTAAGTGTTACATAGTTTGAAAAGCAGCAAGATGTTTAAGCTTTCTACTATTGGTCATTTTTAGTTTCAGTCCAAATACAAAAAAAAAAATGGAAAAAATTGGGGGTAAAATAGCAGCCGACCAAATAATACTGTCTAAAGCAATATTGGTATCTTGGTGGAACTATTGTTTGGGATTAACCTGTCTGAGAATACCATAAAGGCTCTATTTCATACCCCACCTTTTGCATAAATGCTCCACTTTCTGCAAGGAATTTAAAATAAGTGTCCCATGATGACTAAATAAATATATTTCAAATATATTTGTGAAATGAAAGAAGATGTGCTTATTTGGATATATTTTTTTTTTTTTTTTTTTTACAATGATGTATGACAGTAGGGAGAGCCACTTGAGGTAGAGGGTTACAGTGTAAGAATCACAGTTTATGTGGATATGTGGGAAAGATAATGGCTGATCCTAGAGTTGAACAGATTAAGATTGTAGCGATTGGAGAAGTAGCCTTGCAGGAGTCGGTTCCACAAAGCAGCGGCTCATAGGAAGAATCTGCTTGATTGGAACTTACATCTCACCAATGAAATACAAAGGGAATGAGGGTGGTTCACTATAATGTGCATGGCATGGGGGGCGGATCCTAGCCATAAAAGTTAGAATTGGTGGAACTAAGGAATGTAGTTCATCAGAGCACTTTCCATGGAAGTAAGTGGTAGATTATTTTGGTCTCTATCGAGACTTTAATCATCTACCACTATCTATTGACTTTAAAATATTTAAATAAAGCCTCCCCCACCCCGGCACTAAATGGTATGTAAATAAGTAAATAAATGTAACACATATGCAAATGAGGTCATTTTTTTTAAAACTTAGTAAAATACAATGTAAAAAGGTTGCACTCTCTACCAAAAATCAAACTGAACATCACAGCCTCATGCATAGAATAATCCTTATAACCTTGAATTTTTTTTTATAGCAAATAAATAAATAAATAAATATTCTCTGATTTCTGTTTATGCATGTGCAATAAGGTTTCTCTTGGGTGGTTGCATCAAAACTAAACAACTGATTCTCGAAATATTTCAGATAGAGTTCATATAACTTGGGATCTGTGCCACATTTTTTTTTTCCAAATATGAAATTTGGATATGGATTGAAGTGATCCTGCAACTGAAGCAGAGAGCATGAAATTATCTAAACAGGCTTCAAAGCAACATCAAATTAATTTTTTTATATTATCAAAAGAGTAATTTCAAACTGAATTGTATAAACTATAAAAACAAATAGGGGTTATGAAATGATTCTTGTAACAGCCAAAACAACCATTTTCGTAATATTAACCAACCTTGTGCATAGAACAATCCTTATAATCTTGAATTTTTTACAGCAAATAAATAAATAAATAAATATTCTCTGATTTCTTTTCATTGATCCTTTCATTTTATTTCCACTGCAGTGAAATAAAAAAGAAATAAAAACTTTGTTTGGCCAAAATATTCATTTGCTTAGAGAATGAAGAAAATTTAGTTAATAAAACAAACTTTCTGGCCAACTTAATACAAAAAAAACATGTTTGCTAAGTTAGCTTGAAACTTGCAAAATAAAATATTTTTACTGTCAAAAAAAAGTCAGTACTTTATTTTTACTGTCAAAAGATTTGGTACTTTATTTTTACTGTCAAAAGATTTGGTACTTTATTTTTACTGTCAAAAAAGAGGGTACTTTATTTTTACTGTCAAAAGATTTGGTACTTTATTTTTACTGTCAAAAGATTTGGTACTTTATTTTTACTGTCAAAAAAGAGGGTACTTTATTTAACTGTATACATTAGGATTTAGATTATTTACATCCAGACTAATGTCCCCATCTTTGTTATTATCATGTTTCAGCTTACTGACCAACTTCAGGTGTGTCTGTTGATGCCATAATTTTTATCAAAAATTCAAACTGAACCCATTTTATATCCTGGGGTGGGGTGGGTGTAGATTGTTCTCAATTCTGCTGTTCAGATTTAGGGATTATCTTGTCTTGTTCTTATTTTTAGTATTGATCAGTTATTGTTTCCTTTGTTTCCACTTGAAGAAGACTGGTGGGCACAATGGCTGAAACGTGATGATAACAACAAAGATGAAGACAATAGTTTGAATATAAATAATGATAACTCCTGACCCCAGAAATTCAGACAGAAAGAATTGATTAGTGTGGAAGGGAATATATTTTAGGTGTTGAGATATTTTCTTCAAATTCATTGTTGTTTTTGATATTTCAGAATGAGGCTCGGAAGATGAACCACAAGGAAGTAGCGGAGGAGGACAAACGTAAAAAGTTGCCTTCGAATTATGAAGATAAGAGAAAAAGAATTGAGTGGGAGGAAGAGGAAGAGAGAAAAAGAAAAGTAAGACTTCTTTTTTTTTTTTTTGATTTATTGGCTTTTGTTGGAATTTCCGAGACAATTTCATCATTTTTCTGACTTAAGGTCTGTGGAATTCAAAATTCAGGTGCCTTTTTAAGCAATGGAACACCTAGGAGTAAATGAAAATATGGCACAATTAGCAAAGTTAAAAGCATTTGAATGTAATGAAATAAAACCATAGATTTTAAAAAAAAAAATACTTTTTAAAATTGAATATTAAATCAAAGTAATTAAAATAACATTAAAAAATTTGAAAAGAATTATTTGAAAAAAGTTTAATATTTATTCATTTATTCAAATACTAACACTGTACCATTACTACTTCTATGCACAACACAGACATATATATGTGTTCTGTGACTATTTCACAGCACACTTAAGAGGATCATGCAGCACACTAGTGTGCCACGGTACCGCAGTTGAGTAGCACTGTTTTAGACTGCTGAGAAAACTAAACTTTGTAGAATCCTTATTTGTGGAAAATTAATTCTACAGGTTGCTTCCAAACTTTATCCTCCAACAAAACTGTAAATATGTATCTCTTCATTGCATGATTTCTTCTTAAATATCTGTCTATATCTCTGAGATGAGGTATTATGATTACTTGCATTATTTACATTATTCAGACTGTTATCCTCATCTTCATTGCCAGATTCACAACATTTCGGCCTCTATATCTCTGAGATGAGGTATTATGATTACTTACATTATTTACATTATTTGAACTGTTATCCTCATCTTCATTGCCATATTCACAACATTTCAACTGTTGTATGCTCCAGTCTTGTTCAGGTGGTTGGAATTTTGAACTGAACCCTTTATAGGCCACGTGTCCTCAAGATCACATGGCCCAGTGGATAAATACGTTGTTTAGATCCAGGGATTAGACCCAAAGAGTTGTGAGTTCAATACCAGGCCAAGACAGTGGTGAACCAAAACTTGGAGAGTTGAGTTAAAAGGAACTAACTGAGACGTCCAGAAGAGACATGGCATGTGGAACTAGAACAGTCTACCCCTGTGGACAAAATGAAGCGTTCACTTTGAAATTCCAATCACCTGAAGAAGGTTTGAGCATACAACGGCTGACACGTTGTGAATATGGTAATGAAGATGAGGATAACAGTCTAATGTAAATAATGCAAGTAATTTCTTCTTAGGTTATTGTATAAACTTGGGTTTTTCTTATTAGTCTGTTCATGTCAGTACCTGTGGGTGCTTTTTTCTGCCAAATACAAGTGTGGACATGCTTAAATTATTTCCTCCAGTTCCTGACATGGTGCTTATTTGCTAAGGCATAATTATTGTTTTTCAAATCATTTTCACGCTTATTTTATGAGTTGTAAAATTTCCCACCAAGCTGATTATTCCAGACAGCCTTTTTATTTGGTACAGGTGTGTATGCAATGGGAAAAAAATAAATTCCAAAATGTCGGCTTTGAAGAGAAACATGCAGATCTCTCATATGTAAGGAGAGAATATAAAGAGACAAGAAAAACAATGAAAATAACCACAACATTCTACACGTAAGCACACAGGCGTGTGTGTGTGGGCTGATACATGTAGACAATGAAGGAAGAATTTAAAAAAAATCAACCTTGTAGCACTGAAAAGTGCATAAATAATTTTTTTTTTAACTCAATATAAACCCGTTTGTGTATTATCCCAACCTTGGTGTGCATAATTATGGAACATAGAGGAAAATTTTCAATGATTGTTTTCCTCATTCTTTTAATTATGGGGATCCCCATCCAGGGGCCCTTCTCACTCCTGTTGGAGGAACCACTTCCCCCTGATTGATCATTTTTTTCAGGGTTGTAGCTGGTCATTTCTGGGTTGGTGAGACTATTTAACACACAGATTTTTCTTTTAATCATTTCACCCCAAGCAAGGCAATAAAGCCACTAAGATGAAAGGGATTACTGAGTGTAAGAGAATATGATAAAAAGAAAAACATAATTAAGGAGAAAGACCAAAATACAAGAACAGGAATTAAAAAGATAATGATCAACATTGCACTTAAATTTTTGAAGATCAAAGCTGGTTGGAAAGCATGGCACCAGACGAGAGTTCCACAAGTAGGAAATATAATAGAAGAAATGGTTAATGTAGAAATTATTCTATATTTCCATTATTATTCTATATTTCAATAATCTAGAGATTTAAAGTATGTAGAAGGGTGTGTATAGGTTATATGCAGCTTCTATGTGTCATGTCGCTTCAGGATGTGACAGTCATGGCTCTCCATGATATCCTATCCTTTCTAGTACTTAGTATGTTTTGTCTTTTCACTATCCCTCCCAGTCCCTGTTCTGCTGTCCATTTATGCCGGCTCATTACATACATTACTCGTTGTTTTCCTCTGTCCCTCTTGCCTGCAAGTGTCAAATTCTCTAAGCTCTCTTTCCTCATTGTGTCCCCAAAATTTCAACTTTCTCTTTCTAAGTATGTGTTCCCTTTTTGCTTCCATTTTCCTTAAAACTTTCTTGTTACATGTTCAGTCCATGGTATTCTCAGCATCCTTCTGTGGCACCTTGCATTATTAGAAATATTCATAGAAATATGATTTAATTTTTTTTTACTTGGTTTACTAAACAGGTTGTTGATTTTTTTTTTAACGGAAAATAATTGAGTTGAAAATAATTCACTAAGATTGTACTTAGACGATCCTAAAAGAAAAAAAGAAAAGAAAGAGGAAAAAAAAAAAAAAAGAAAGAGAGTTGGATGATGCATGACCCAGTCATAAGCGAAGATAAGTGTCAGAAAGATATCTTGGCCTGCGTGTGGCCGAATTTTAAAGGACAATAGAGAATTGTTATTTGAAATGAAAAAATCATTAAGAGGGAGAAAAAGAACCAGGCTTGATGACAGTGTTTTGGCAATTGATAAGAAAAATCGGTCAAAGCACCTAGCCTACTTTTTATGTGGAAAGACTCATTGTCAAATTGGAGAAAGGGAAATTCTTTTTAGAACAATAGAAACGAAATTTTTTTAATCGGAGAAAAAAGTGTCTTTTTTTAGTTGAGGGGAGGACCGGTGGAACTATATACAGATTCTGACCTATTAAGAATTGGAAACCCATGATAACAAAGTGGGGACATTTTCAATGTAGATAATTAAGAGGTGAAAAAACGATTGTCTCAGTTCACAGATAGCGCCAATATTCTTCCCTGAAGTCACATCTAATTAGCGGCAGGCTGTTTTGACAGAGCCCAGGTGAGAAAAAAAGCCAAGATTGTCATTTTTTTAAATACGTGCAAAAAAAGGCAAAATTAGATTTTGTTTTTTAAAACAAGAACGATGTAACCACGCCCGAAAGGAGGAGAAAGGATGCTCGATCAATAACAGTTGGTCGGAAACGGTCACGTGGCATGCGAAAAGAAGAGAAAGAAGTGCTCGATCAGGAATCATTGGTCGAGAGCGGTCACCTGACATACGAGGGACCGGGAAAGATGGGTGTGCGCCTCCCCACCAAGGGCACTGTGAGGAAGTAGGGGTGAAAACAATAGCGATAATGGGAAATCAAAAATAATGCGACTTTTGAGTTATCGAGGAAACCCTGACGCCGACAGACCCACCCCAGTTTGTTGTGGGGCCAATAAAAGCAGGACCCCAGTCGACAGAAATCAGTTGAGTTGAGAGTTGCAGCTGGACCAAGGGCAGGGATAGAGCCTGAACGCGGGCATCAGGCCCGATTCACTCGCCCCCTTTATGGCAAGAGAATCCTCAGACAAGAAATCCTTCCAGCCCAAGTCGAAGACAGAAGTTCAGCCCCAGACGGCAGCGAAGAGATCACCTCGGACGACAGAGAGTTGCGGCTGAGTTAAGCAAGAAATCCTTCCAGCCCAAGTCGAAGACAAGAGAACTTCCAGCCCAAGCAGACGAAGAAGAAGATTACTCGAAAGCCGCAGAGAAGTTGCAGCCAAGTCGAAGACAAGAGAAGTTGCAGCCAAGTCGAAGACAAGAGAAGTTCTATCTTAGTCGAAGAAGAAGAAGAAATACAACTCAAGTCGAAGAGAAGAATCAACTGTGAATGATCGATAGAAATTAGCCCCAGTGTCGAACTAAACCACACTCCGACATACACAATTCTAAAGAGTAGGCAATTCAAATCTTTAGGTTGTGTGATAGAAGCTTGGTGCCATAGTCCACAGCGGGTCGGGAATTGAGAACAATTTTTCTTTATGTAACGGACATTAGATATAAAAGGTTGTCACCCTTTTTTTATCAGTAATTTTTTGTCTCGTGAGTTTTTTTTTTTTTTTTTACTTGTGTTTTTGCCACCCCGTCCGGACTCAACTTGTATCGCCCCAATCCTGCTGGTCCCGTCTGTCTAAGATCTAAACACAACGTGGGTAGACAGACCGGAGATCAGTACAGTTGCTTCAGTAACCAGGTATTGGAAGCGAGTTGGGAAAGGCGAGGCTTGGTGATCATCCAACCAAGGGGTTGGAGCGGCACGCTTGAACCAGGAGGAGCGACCAGGAGGACACAGTTGGCGCCCGTAACCAAGGGATTCGACCCTGGGCCAGGTGTGTAACCGTCACACTTCTATAGAGCCATATTACTGTTGCCTTCTCTTCATCTTTGAGGAAATTGTCTTGCATTTACTGCCATATAAGAGGACAGATATTTTCTTTTGTTTTTAAGGAAATTTTTCATTGCTTAACTTTTGGAAGACACTTTTACTGTTTTTTTTTTTTTTTCTCTTAAATTTCAACCAGTAAAAGGCACGAGAGCCACTCAAGATAGGTTACATTCAAAATGATGGATGACGTTTGTGACATGAATGGAAGAGATATGTGGTAGGAAAATGAAGATTATGAGAATAAGGAGGCTAGATAACTATTAATCCTTGACTTGAGCAGGTCAAGATAGACGTGTTCAGGGAAGTAGTCAAGCATGTATCTGTTCGACAAAGTGGCAGTTAATGGGAAGAAAACTGGAAACTCTAACTTTCTTTATACATTTGTAGCACTGAGTCATTTATTAGTATGACAGTTGTTGTAGTTTTGTACTTCCTACTAGTATCAGTAGTTACTGTTAGAAATCGAGTAAAAGACAAGATTTTCAAATACTGATTATATTTTTTTTTTTTTTTTTTTTTTTAAGGCAATCAAATCCTTCTATAGATGGAAATTTGGTATAACACAGTTTACCAATCTTGCCCCCCTCCCATTTGACCTTTTATTAATGAATTTTTTTTCTTTCCAGGATTGTGAATCTAAGGGAGAGAACTATGATCGCGTGAAGTTGCTTGATGTTGGCGCCTTTGAAGCTGAACAGTGGGAAAGAAAAAAGAAAAAAAGAAACCCAGATCCAGGCTTTTCTGGTGAGTGGTTTAACTTCTAATCAGTCGGAGTCAGTGTTTTTTTTTGGGGGGGGTTACCATTAAACTTTAGTGGCAGTGGCAGACTAACACCCATAATTTTAAGGCTTTATTTAAAAAAAAAACAAAACAAAGAAATGGTTGCATTTTCTTTTCCTTGCCAATAAGAAACTCAATTTGTTATGCTAGTTTTGTGTCAAATTTTAACATGTTTGATATTTAAGAATCAAAAGATTTTCTCCTTTTTGCAAATGGTCAATCAGTACCGCTTAAATTGACTGTTCTACTCATAAAGAATAGGGAATTATTTTTTTTTTCTTAACAATTTTTGTAGATTTGCATTCATTAGACTTTCTTCGACCCACAGTATTTGTCAGAATCAAAATTTTATTTTATTTTTTTATCATTTTAGAGGGAGGTCCTGTTTGTAATATAAATGCAATGTCAAACTGATCCCGACTTCTTAAAGCATTATCTGTACTTTGTTTTTATTTACAAATGTCAAACCTTCTGGCTGGGTATGACAATAAATTACATCCAGCAGTATGGCCTCTGATCAGGAGATTGGGGGTTTTGAGGAGCATGGAGCCACCTCTTAATTGCTGTTGTTCACATGTCCACCCTGACCTGGGGTGGTAGCACATATTAGGGTCCTAGCTTTGGGTCAAACACTATGAAAATATAAAAATACATTTTTATAGTGAAAATACCGGCAATACATTTTGTAAAGAAAATTACTAATGCTCCCAAGAAAATTGAATTTCAGCATTGAATGACCCATAAGGATGTTGATATGCCGCTAAACAAACAATACAAATGTCAAGTTTGAAATTACACTTCTGGATTGTGTATGATTACAGATTGAGAAACAGAACACCATCAGTAGTATATAGATGTCACTGACAAAAACAGATACATTTTCAATTAATGGCCATTAAAATATGTTCTTTAATAGTATTTTAACTTGATTTATAATTGTATGTAGGTGTTTAATGGGTTTGGTTTGCCAAAATGGATATAAAAGTAGATAATTTTAATTTAAAGTTTGCTATATTTGATGCACAAATAACCAAAAATATTTTTTATTTTAAAATGCTTTCTTAATCACATACAGCACTTTTTTTTTTTTTTTTAATCATTTCATCCCAAGTAAGGCAATAAAGCCACTAGGACAAAAGGGGCTATTGAGTGCGTGAGAATATGAGAAAAAACTACTATTAGGAAGACAGGACAATAAAAGAACAAGAATTAAGAAGACGGAAGATCACTATTGACATTGCATTTAAATTTTGGAAGATCAAAGTTGACTGGGAAGCAAGAAGTCAGAATAGTTCCACAAGTGAGAAGTGTGAAAGAAGAAACTGTTGGCATAGAACTTACGGTTCCATCTCGCCATTTTAATTGTAAAATGATGATATCTTGCTACCAATCTGGTACTGTGTTTAAATTCATAAAGTCTTAGATAACAAAGGGAAAAGTTTATCAGAACAATTACACCATGAAAGTATTTATAGGAAAGGCACGGAGAGACTACATTATAGTAGTAGGAAAGATGCCAGGTCAGGACCAATAGCATTGCAGATTCTTCCCTGGATATTATCAAGAATCTCTAAATATATAGCAGGAGAACCAGACTAGATGTGGCAGCAATATGCAAAGCAAAGATGGAATGGTAGTCTTATCAAAATATCTAAGATAGATTCTGGAGAGAAGAATAACAAAAAATAAATCATTGACTTGCTGTTTAGAATCATTTTGGTGATAAAACGTTTAGTGAAAAATATGAAAATTATATTAATTGATGTTTATAAAACTCGGGCAATAAATAATCAAATCTAGTTTTAACCCAAGAAAATTTCACTGTTTTTCTATTTGAAATTTCTGATCAATCTTAATAATCAGTTAATGACTGAATAATCTCATGGCGGGTTCCATGACAATAAAATATCTGTAGAAATTCATCTATTGCTTTGTTATATATTCTAGCTTAATAACTTTAACAAAATATTACAGTAACAAACCTAAATATGAATGCTAGTCGTTATTTTAAGAAGTAAGGGGGTACAAATGAAAAGATTTGAAGGTGACAACTTTTACCATTTCCCTGAAACTGCTGCTAAACACTTCTGTCTTCTGTTCTTTCTTTATTACTGAAACCAAGTAGCATCTTTGATATGTCTTTTGCCTTTTCATGTCATCAAAACAGAATATATATATATATATATATATATATATATATATATATATATATATATATATATATATGTGTGTGTATAAAGTTGTAGCCTGTCTGTTTGTTATCAAACTCTTCCTAGTGTTTTGGAGATAGACTCCCATAACCATATATATTCTGAAACTATATTACCCAGGGTACTTGGATAAGTAGATTTCATTTTGATCAAAGGAGGTTCCTGGGGGGCACAAGCGACCCTGCTACTGAAAATTTTTTTCCTTTGATTTAAATTTGAACAAGGAAATGACTCCAATCCAAAATATAGAAGGATAAAGCCAGAAGATGAAGGTCACATCAGCAAGATCAAAATGAGACAATATGGACGTCAAGTTGAGCAAGAACTCACCAATTAGCGGGTAGTGCCTTACAATACATATTGTTGTGACAATTCAGCTGTTATATCAATGATGAATTCTGCTCATCAATATATTCAATCAAGTATTGCATCAAATGCATATCAAAAGGGTCAGATCAACCTTTTTTTACATACTCCCACAAAAAATTATTTTCCCTTTGATTTAAATTAAATTTAAATAGGGAAATGACTCCTATCCAAAATATAGAAGTCGGAAGATGGAGATCATATCGGCAAGATCATTGAGTAACATTGAAATGCATCATTTTTCTCCACAAATCATAATAATGGTTTAAAATCAATCCTCATTTTCTTACAAAAAGAAATGTGACATGCAGCAAGATGTGGGTCATTCAGCTAGTAGTTCATTATTTATGAGGTATTGGCAGGGCGTAATGGTTGTGTGAACTAATGAAGAGAGAGGCAAGCACATTTATAATAGAATTTTTTTTTTTATTGATGGAGATTTAAAACCTTGTAAAGTTTCTTGTTAATTCTGATTTCTTTTTTTTTTTTTTCAGATTATGAAGCTGCCACATTCCGCCAGTATCAGCACAACACAAAACTGATCAAACCAAATATGGAAGAATATTGCAGAGAGATGGAGAAGAAGTAACTTTCTTTTTTTTTTTTGTTTTGTAAAGAAATTCCTTCCATTCATTTCCCAATTTGGGTAGCTGGAAATTGATAGCTTATTCCAGGGTTAGGCAATTTTGGGCAATATTAGGCAGATTCTGTTACAGCTAAATAGATATTGATTAATTACTCATTAAGAAACACTTTGGAATGCAAGGTTTAGCTAATCTGATATCTTAATTACTATGAAGAGATTAACATTAATAAAGCGGCAATTAAACAATAGTAAACTGCTATTAAATAGTTAATATCCGGAAAGCTGCTATTGGCAGGTTGATATCCGGAAAGCTGCTGTTGGCAGGTTGATATCCGGAAAGCTGCTATTGGCAGGTTGATATCCGGAAAGCTGCTGTTGGCAGGTTGATATCCGGAAAGCTGCTATTGGCAGGTTGATATCCGGAAAGCTGCTATTGGCAGGTTGATGTCCGGAAAGCTGCTGTTGGCAGGTTGATATCTGGAAAGCTGCTGTCGGCAGGTTAGTATTAGGAAAACTATTACTGAAAAGTTAGTATTAGCAAAACTGCTATTGGTTGGTTAACATTAGGGAAATCGTTGTTCTGGCTGATACAAGAATCATTTCATATCCACTGTCTGTTTTTATTGTTTACACAATCCAGTTTGAAATTACTCTTTTGAGAATATAAAAAAATTAATTTGATGTTGCTTTGAAGCCTGTTTAGATAATTTCATGCTCTCTGCTTCAGTTGCAGGATCACTTCAATCCATATCCAAATTTCATATTTGGAAAACAGAAATGTGGCACAGATCCTAAGTTATACCAACTCTATGAAATATTTTCATTTCTTTTGAATATTTCAAGAATCAGTTATTTAACTTTGATGTTAACTTGGCAACCAATCAAGAGAAACCTTATTATACATGCATAAACAATCTCCCATGAGGTTACTCACAAGTGAGATCCCATTGAGTGAGTTTGTGCATTATTTGACTGTCATATTCATGATGTCCCAGATCAGTAAAGCTTTTTCAAATTTTTTTTTTTCTGACAGACCATCACATCATCTCGATTTGTCAGCCTCCGTATAGCTCTGATTTGGCTCCCTGTGTTTTCTAACTTTTCCAGACGCATTAAATTTCTTTGAGCGAGATTAAGGATAATGTAACACAGCAAGTGATGGCAATCCTGAAAGAGAATTTTTGCAGTCTGTTTTTGTAAAGTGGAAGCGAAATGGCATAGGCGTGCAGGATCAAAATATTTTAAAATATTTTAAAAGGGACTAAGGGGCAATTTCCATAGCTAGGCCATTTTTATCTTTTTATTTTTGTTAAGATGGCATGGCTGGATATTTTCCGGACAGAGCTTGTCTACGTGATATAACATATTTGATATGAACCAAGTTCTGGCACATATACATCATTGTTCTAATCTTGAATTTTTTTTTTTTTTTAACCTTCAGAGGGGATGATTTCTATCCAACTGCCAACACCCTGGGCATCCATCAACACAAAGATACTGAAAAAGGTATTGATAAAATGGTCACAGACTTAGAGAGACAGTAAGTATCTTTAAACATTTCCATGAAATAGACATTGTTACTGATTGAAGTTATGGTAACTCCTTAGGAGTCTTTTAATGCATGCTTTGTCATTAATTATCTAGATAAAGCCATCTCATTAGCTCAGAATTACTGCTGAAAATCATTATTATTTGGCAATGAAGTTGCTTGGCTAAAGAAAGAACATTTGATGTTACAATGGGAAGTTTTGATGAAGCAAATATTTGCCAGCTGATAGGCATACATATACTACATGAACTAAGCAAAATAATTGACAAAAATTATATAGGCCTCTACAGGGACAACGGTCTCATAATACTAAGAAACTGTAACAGATAAAAACAGACCAAACCAGAATAATAATCACAAAAATTTTCAAAACTATAGGATTCAACCTAGACATAAAAACAAACCTAAAATAAGTAGATTTCCTAGATGTCATACTCGACCTAAGAAAAGCTACATGTTGGTCATATAGAAAACAGAATGACAAACCAATTTACATCTGTACATCTTCCAACCACCCACCAATAATCAAGATTCTATAATCAGTTAAATATAGGTTATCTGACAAATGACAATGAAACCATCTTCAATGAAGCCAAAAAAGATTATGAAACAGCAACACTCATATACACACAAACCAAACCCACTTGCAACTGCAGGACAAAGCTTGTACCTTAAACAGGAGTAGAAAATAGCTATAATCACCTTCCCAGAACAACACAAACTACTAAATAAATGATCATAACTTATCTCAAAATGCAAACATACCAAACCACTGTAAAAACAAGAGATAATAAAGAAAAATACACATAGGAGTAACTGAAGGAATCTGGAAACAGAGAAACTATGCACACAAAACATCTTTTTCCAATAGTAATATATGAACAGTACAACCCTTTATTAACATATATGTGAACTTGAAAATAAAAACCAAAATACAATAAAAATATGAAAAATAGCATTAGCTTACAATAATAAATCCCCCAAACTGTAAAGTTTAGAGTAGAAAATAGCTAAAATTACCTTCCCAAACCAACACAAATTAATAAATGATCAGAACTTCTCAAAATGCAGACATGAAAACAAATCTTTACTGTGTTACTTAAAAATGAAAAAATAAAAATGAATACCTTGTTAAACACCAACAAATATATGCAAAACAGATAATGTAACATACTTTAGACAAAACCAATATTTTAAACTAAATAAATAAGATAAGCAACAAGCAAAAGGAAAAAATAATAAACAAATTAAATAAATAAATAAATTAAAAAAGTACAACTGCATGCATAATCACAAATTTTTTTTTATCTATGTTTTATTTTTATTAATGATTAATATAATTTATTGAAACAAAGCAAGTTCATTTTGACCATTGATGACAAAATTTAATAATAATAATCAACAGCAAATGATTAATGACTAAATATAAAATATCCTAAGTAATCAATAATAAATAAGGAGTTATCAAACAACCCTATATAATAGCTATGAAATAACTGCATTCTGGTTCATACTTATTTTTATTCTATATAGTCAAGCTACTACCCAACATACATGGCGTTCAAGCATGAAAAAGTCTGTTGAACTTGATGTTGGCCTCAATGTCCACTCATATAAAAGACCCTATCCTTGATATTCAGCTCTTTTACTCATAAATATAGCATAAACTATATATGTGCGTGTAAATTAGGGGGGGATCAGACAACTCTGCTACCTTGATTTCAACCTTTCAGTATCTTCAGGTGATTTCAGTCAATTGTTTTCCTAACACTTTAATTTAAAAAAAAAAAAATTATGAATGCTTTATTTTTAAAAATAAATAAATGAATACACACACGATATGGGGTTTTGGTAGAAGTTGAGGAGGAGGAGGGGAAAAGCAAGTGCATTTCAAATGTATCAGTGGGGGCAGTAAATGAAATATACGTACTTTCTTTTTATCCCATTTCATATGAACTCATAAGGAACTTTTTAGTATGCATGCAATGGAACATAATTTCTGACCTCTCATTCAAAAGGCTTTTTTGGTCTAGAAATGTTATTATAGTTAACTTTTCTTGTTAACAAATAAAAAAAGATATGGCGTTCATAATTTAAAAAAAAAATAAAGCATTAGGAAATCAATGACTGAAATTGCTTGATGATTGTTACAAACATAGAAAATAATTATTTATGCTATTTATATCTGGACTATTTTCCTTATCTTTATTGTTTTTATCAATGTTTTGGTTGTTGTCCCCTCTTCATCAGGTGTATATTGACCTGGGTAACCTACTGGGAATTCTTAAGGGATTCCTTTATTTAATCTACAGGGAGTAAACTGTTCTCGTTCTCCTGCCCATGTGTAGGGATATCTTGTCTAGTTCTTATTTTTAGTACAGCTCAGTTATTATTTGCCCTGTTTCCACTGAGTGCACACTGCCTGACTTAAGGATTGAACTTACAACCACTATGTCTCCCAGTTGACAAAACAACACTTTATGAATTTTGATGGTTCTAGGTTGGTAAATAATTTTATTGTTTAAAAAAAAAAAAACAGTTATGTCTACTCAAACATGTCTATCCAGAAAAAGTATAAAAATGATGTTGATAATAATAATAATAATAATAATGATGGTTCTACCTTTTGGCTGAGATAGTTGCATACTATTTGAGTTAAGATAAAAATTCAGGATTGTGAATTCTTTCTATTTGATTGGTACAACATAATCTTCTTGCTTCCTCCTCTTCTACATTTGGGGGTGTGAGGATGGGGGTGTAATGGGTAACGGCTCAGAATGAGAAATTGGAGAGCTGTGTCAGATTTATTACCATCACTTAAATGCAAATACTCCAGGGAAAGCTAAGGATCCACCTTCTCCCCTCCTTGCTATGGGTTAAATAGTATGACTTGTATCTGGAAAAATTATTGTTATCTCCAAAGAAATTGTTAATGCAATATTTAAAAAAGGGGAATTTTTACAATCCCCCAAAATATATTTTGGCTTTTGCCAACGTCCAGTTCACACGCTTCCCCAGTGATTTGAACAAGTGTAGTGGTTTATCGTTTGTTTCATGTTTAGGATTGGGTTTCCAGTTCCTTCTGAAGTATTTTCATTCTCTTTCATTCTCGTAGCCCCTTGCATTTTAGTGACATTATCAACCTTGCTTCAGGTGAAATGATTAAAAACAACAAAACAGAAAGGGTTGATAAGCCTTAAAAAATGAAAGCAATTAAGCCTGTGTCTATTGTTTTTTTTTTTTATTTATTTTTTCCCTTAGGATCCATAAAAGAGAAAAATACAGCCGACGCCGAGCTTACGATGAGGATGCAGACATTGATTACATCAATGAACGCAACATGAAATTCAACAAAAAGTTGGAACGCTTCTATGGCAAATACACGGCTGAAATCAAACAGAACTTGGAAAGAGGCACAGCAGTTTGATAAACTCTCAAGTTTGTTTTTTTTTGTTTGCTTTATTTTTCATTTGGAAATCTGGTCAGTGCTCCTACCCTCACCTGGCTACAACGCTACTGGGATATTTTTAGAGAATTCGCCAAAAGGTTTCATTATGTGATGATCTAAGAAAGAGACTTGCTCATAGGAAAATCCATTTCTGTCAATTCAAAGATGTACTCATGAGAATAAAATAAACTCAATTGTATATATTTTATCTATGTCATTGGATGTCTATATACGTTTTTTATATATAAAGTGAGCAAACTGGAAAAAAAAAAAAAGATTAAAGATGTCATTTTGAATTAAACAACATCCTTAGGAAATTTGAATGAGAAAATATTTGAATGTAACTATATTGAAAATGCTTTTGAAAAAGAAACTTTCAAAAATATTTTCTTTTATTTGCAAAACAAATCTTGGTTTATTACACTAGGAGCAAAATGTAAAATATTAGATTGTAGAAGTAACTGTTTATATCTCTGAGATGAGGTATTATGATTACTTGAATTATTTACATTATTCACAATATTATTCCAGTCACCTGAAGAAGGCCAGTGTGTACAATGGCCAAAACATTGTGAACATGGCAATGAAGATGAGGATAACAGTCCAAATGATGTAAATAATGCCAACAATTTTTATTACTTCCATCTTGTTTACAACGAACAGCAGAAAATGTCATCACATTAGGACGTTTGAATTTCTTTAGATGAAACATTTATTTATTAATATTCGTTTTTTGCTTAGTTCTTTCATCTTATTTCTGTTGTTTTATATTACAAGTCACAGATCATTCCACAATTGTTAAATGAAAAGTGTTGGTTTTTAAAATAAAAAGTAAACCAAGATTCAAATTCACATTGTTTATTCTTGAGATGCATGCCTTTTTCTGCTAATTGCCTGACTGATTAAGCTATAAAGGCAATCTAGTAGACACAAGGTGGAATCATGACATTTTAGGGCTCCTAGTACTGCCCAAGCAATAGTTGGCCATACTACAAAATGTCTGAAAGCTAAAGGCCAACATTTTGAGAATCTCTTGTGATTGTAGAATTCAAAGTTAACTTGTATTAATCGTGTGATATCTGAATAAATTTAGTATTACAATATCTACCAGTTTTTCCTTTACTGAAGTATGTAGACATTTGGGCAGGGGCAGACTTAGATATATGAATTGGTTTCAATTTGATATTTCTTCAAAACTTTGTCAAGATTTTGTATCCTATTTTAAACACATTTTGTCGACATGGAGACAAACCTAAAAATATATAAATCTTTTACTTTCAATCCATTCTGAAAAAGTGGATATGGATTTATTTTAAATTAATTTCAGAAAAGACAATATGAATCTTCTGCTTTTGAGCCATTCTTAAAATGAGATGAGGATTTAACTTAAATTCAATAAAGAAAAGCTGGGAGAATATATAAATAACTTTCGACATGAACTAAAAATTATAAAATAAATGCAGAATAAATATTCATGGCTTTTTAAAAAAAAAAATCGCTCCTTTTCATTCTTTTCTTTCATCATGAAAAATGCCAGCTTAGCAGAAAAAAAGTACAAATGATTTATTATTTAAAGGCACACACACACACACACATTTCTTTCTTTTCGTTTTTGAATCTGATGAAGCCTAGAAAGGCAAAATACGTAATCAAATCGAGTTTCTATGAAACGGTTTTCCATTTGTCATATTTCTTCAAAAATTTGTCGGGATTCTATTTTTTTATACACACACACACACACACACACACACACAGAATAATTAGAAAAAATATAACATACTTTCTCCTTTAGTGAAACATATATTATTTAGTGTGATTGATTAAATAGTTAATATGTATTCATTCTTTCATGATAATGATGATAAAAAAAAAAAGTTGAGATTCTTTTTCAATGTATTCTAATTCTTGGGTTAAATTGGAAAAAAAACAATGTTTACAAAAAACATTGTCAGGATATAGCCGACAAAATCTTGTCTATCACACTGACAACATCCAGTTCTTGATAATGATTGAGACATTCAAAAGTACTTGGGTGAGGGAAAAAAAAAAAAAAAGAAATAAAACAGAACAACAACAAAAAAAAAATGAACTTATGATTGTTTATCCACAATTTTGATTTGTAAATGTTTATATTCCCACGTGTTGATGCTTGTGTAGTAAACAAATAAAAAAATTAAGGGACGTAACTGGTTTTATATGTTGCTTATGGTAAGGAAAATATGATAGAAACTATTTTGAGGTAAGCGCCTTTGGTTTATAGAATGAACTGAGTAGTGGTTTAAACTTACCAATAAAAAATGTTTCTTTATTAATACGCTTTTGTTTAGTGTTTTTTAGTCACATTGGTAGAATGGGTAGATATTAAAATATATATTATGTAAACTCTAAATTCAAACTATATGAGAGAGATATACAAACATGGTGACACACTGTTCACTATTTTTCTGTTATCAGTTCTTTCAAAAAGTGTGGCTGGTTCTCTAAAAGTCTGTAATAAAATCGTTTGTGTGGGTAGTCTTACACAGTTTAGTTCAGTGGTTCTCAACTGGGGTCTACATGGACCCTAGGGGTCCATGTAATATTTCTGGGGGTCCACAGGCAAAACTCAATTGTTGTGTTAATTAAAAATAGTAATAATAATTATTATTATAATTATAGTAGAATATTTTATTTGTATTAAATTAGTTTTCATTTAAAAATAAAGCTTAATCGTATACTATTTCTTTGATAATTAAAACCTTAAAATTTATATTAGTGAAGAATAGAAAATTGTTCTTATGTCCAATAGCTATGAAGGGGTCCACCATGATAAAAAGAAGGGGAAAGGGGTCCATGGGTAAAAAAAGGTTGAGATCCACTGGTTTAGTTCAAAATGGACTGATTTCAAAATCCTTACGAGAAGTCGTTTTTATTCAACTGAAATGGGGAACGACATTCTTTTGTATACCATTGTAACAAAAGGTGATAAACAGGATCATTAACTAGGATTTTTTGAAATTCAACGCATCGGCATCCAAACGTGAAAAATGGAAGTAACAATGTTCATAGAGTCTGTCATCTTGCGCTTCCTGATAAAAAAGCTATAAAATAGGATTAAAATAGGTACCTCCCAAAAATTCAGAATACCTAAGGTTTTTTAGAGAAATGTAAACAAACTTATTTTTTGGTTTTGAAAATCCTGCTAAAATAAGATATACATTTCTGAAATATTACTTTCGTAAAATTAGCAAATTTAAAGTTAAATTAATATGTTCTGAAACAAAAACCACTTACTTATAGCATAAAATTTTCTAGACAAACATTTCTTGTCCTCGGGGGTTTTGTTATTTTCACGTCTCCATTGATAATTTGATGGCTGAATGTGTTGACAGGTTTAGTACGGTGCATCAAATGTGACATAACGGTTTTTTTGTTATAATAATTTAAAATACTATAAAAATTTCTTACATTATTGAGTTACCTCTATCTCTTTCATTATTTAATAGCTAAGATAATGATAAATAATTTTATTAATTATTAATATTACATTAAGTTATTACATTTTTAACTGAGATAATAACTACTAAAATTATTATTATATTAATAATTAAAATATCCCACAGTGTTATTAATTGTTTAAATTGATAAGTGAGATAATTTTATTATCTCAATTTAATTTTTAATTTAATAACTGAGAGTGAGATAAGACCTTTACATGTCAAGGGGGTTTGCCCAAGGAGGAGACAAGCTTTGAAACATGTGACCTTTTAACCATAATGTCACTTATAAGATATCATACTAAAAAAAAAAATAACATTTTGATGTACAGAAAGAATATTTTTAATTATGGTAAAAACTTTTGGTAGCATTATTTGTATTAAGCTTTTAATTTTCGCTTAGTAAATATAGTCTACAATTAAAAACTTAATAACTGATCCCACACTCTGAATGATAGAATTTTAAAACATTTTTTAAAATTAAAGAAAAATGAAAAAAAAAGGAAAAAATAAAATAAAAATGCAAACAATTCTTGTAAAAATTCTTTATTCATTGAAAAATTTTTTTTTCAGTTAATAATGTCCTTAATGTATATTATTTATAAAAGCAAAAAAAGCCTATCTTATTTGATAGTTTATTGCAGGTTTTTATTTTATGATTTGGAGCAGATTTTTTAAAAAATAGTTGTGAAAAAAAAAAAATGATGATTTAATTTCTCCAAGGTGTCCTGCTTATAAGTAATATAAAACAAATTGTGAACTCTTGGAAATTCTAGAAAATTTCATAAAATTAATTTATGGTGGGGTAACAGAAGTAAAAAAAAAAAAAATATTTTTACCAAGATTTTCTAAAAATAAAAATTTCAAAAATAAATTCATTCATTTTTGAATAAGTCCTGAAAGTTTCATTAAAATTTGAAAATTATTTGATTTTTGCAAGAATTTCCAAATTAATGGGTTTTCTCCTGAAACTGCAAAACTGATTTTTTTAGCAATAATTGGAAGTACCTAGATTAATGATACAAACAAAAGATGAAATTAATGCATACAGAGTTTCGTCCCTTGAATGATTTAAGGGAGATGACTCGTCCCATTTAATAGACTTTTCAAAAAACATCTGGAACATTTTTTGTCTTTATTTCTTCAAGTTATTTAATAATCTAAATTAATATATTAATATTATTAAGAAGAATGCGATAATGGGTCGATGCCGACATATTAACAAATATTTACTTTGTTACATAAAACGATAAATCAAATAAAATATAATTTAAATAATAATAATAAAAATTAACAAATATTACAATTCAATTAATAATATAGCACAACATAACTTCAATATAAATCTATAAAATTTTTTAATTTAATTTCGTATAAATCGACAACTGAAAAAACGGCAACGTAAACAAAAACAAAAATTCATGAACGTGCGCTGTCTAAAATAACGTTAAATTCATGAATGCACATAAAACTGATTGAAAAAAGACGACAAAAGCAAGTTAG